AATTTAATAAATTATGACTTATAGTATGCCTTACACAATTAATAATTATAATTTGATATCTTAACCTTTCTAATATCAAGATATTTTAATTTTTTGCATGCTCTTTTTATTTTTTAAAATATTATAGATAAATTTAAATATTATTTTAAAAATTTTAATTTAAAAAATAATTATAATATATATTAAATAAAAAATCTTATTTAAATAATACTTAATTAAAAATAAATATGAAATTTTATTAATAAATTATTACAATTCTATTTTATTTAAAAAAATTAAATTTACTTAGAGAGTTTATTTGTATTACTTTGACTTGTACTTTTATAATAATGATCGAAATTTTATTTTATTAAGTGAAACAAGAAATTAAAGTAAATTTCATTCTGTATAAGTTGCACTTTTTGTAATTATTAATGGAAAAGTGGTCCCTCAGCACTGAGAATGCACTCCTTTATTAATAGCTAAAAGTCTAATAAGGCAAGTTGCATTGCTGTACTCTCTAAGTGAAATCACCCAACAAAATACATATTTAAAAAAAAAAATAAGATTGGTGTTTTTCATTTCTAATTGCCTATAAAAGGGCAATTTGTATTATGAAAATACTAAAATATTTTTAATAAATCTTATTTATAAAAAAATATTTATTATTTTGAAATAGAGAGAGAGTAATCAAATGATCCTTTAACTAACTTTTTCTTTGGTTCAGTGAAAGGCTACACCTCTTTCTCTTATTCAGTGAAAGTGTGTAGCTCTTTCTTCACTATTTCTCTCATTCTCTTGGACTATAATAATTGATGCTAATGAAAAGATCCTTTTAACTATCTCTCTTGTTCAGTGAAAGTGGGTAGCCTTTGCTTCGCTATTTCTCTCATTCTCTTGCACTATAATAATTAGGGGGTTCGCAATGTGGTTTGGTTTGAATTTTAATATTTTTTAAACCAATCCAATTTAAGCAATTAGTAAAATCTTTAAATTAATCCAATCTACTATTATATGATAACCAAACCAATCCAACTTAAATTTGATTGATGTGGTTCAGTTGGATTAATCGGTTTTTAACACTATTAAATATATTAGATAATATAAAAAAATTTAATATTAAGTAAAAAAATATAACTATAAGTTTTAAATATAGTGCAAGTAATTGTTAAAGGTTAAAACTAATTTTTTTTTCCTTAATGCACCAAATAATTCAATCCCATCTTCCAAACCCTATTAAAAGCAAATAAAATTTAACATAAATGTCATTTGGAATGATTAAAAATATTCATAATTAAGATTTAAAATTCCTCAACCAAATATCTAATAATAGTAGAATATCAAAATTAATTCTATTATATGGTTTAGAGTGACACTTCTTAAAGTTTAGTTAGAAGAATCAGAATATTATTTTACAAA